GCAAGTATATTAAATTTGGAGAAAATCGGTTCAGATATAGCTATAGCTTCCATATATATCTTTCATCCGATTTGGTGTTTAAGCCTCTCACATTCGTAATATGCACTCCACAAGAATGATATTTGGTACCAGATATAAGATACAGCCCAGAAATAGCTGTTTGTAATTTTATCGAAATCGGTTCAGATTTGGATATAGCTCCCACATATATCTTCATCCGATTTCGGGTTAATTGGGCACCAAATGGCCGATATAAGTCCAAATGGACTGAATTTTAGTACATCGGACCAAATTCACCCTAGAAGCAAGTATATCAAATTTAGTGAAAATCGGTTCAGATATAGATATAGCAACCATATATATGTTTCATCCGATTTAGAGTTTTAGTCCCATACATTCGTAATATTCACTCCACAACCGTGATATTTGGTACCAGGTATTAGATGGAGCACAGGAATAGCTGCTTTAAATTTTATCGAAATCGGTTCAGATTTGGATATAGCTCTCATATATATCTTCATCCGATTTCGGGTTAAATGTGCACTAAATGGTCAATATCAGCCCAAATCACCAGTCTAGAAGATAATACGTAAAATTTGGAGAAACCCGGTTCAGAGATAGCTATAGTTCGTAAAATGCACAATAGAATTAGATAGATTTTGATTTTGTACCAAATATCTCATAGAGCTCTGAAATGCCCTGTATAAACCTTTTTACGAGAGCTCTACTAAATATGCATAGTGGTGTAGGGTATCATATAGTCGGCCCCGCCCGACTTTTGAGCTTTCCTTACTGGTTTTTATTCTGCCAACAATAACAACAAACACACCAACAATATTTTTTTGTTGTATTGCACTGTGTTAAGCTTAAATCAAAGCCTCCCCATAATTACAGAAGTCGTGAAATGAAATCCAAAGCAATGGAAAAAAGTGAAAGAAGACGAGAAAGGAGATTGAAACTGAAAAACTAAATGAATATCGTAAATAATTGAAGTCAACGTTTGTAGTCATGGGGTGATATTGGACATCAAAAAAATGGCGCTATAACTTAAAAAATCCGAATTTCTGGTGTATCAGTTATATGGATCTATACGAAAACGTGGACCTCTACAACCAATTATCTGATATCTCTAAAATCATAAAAAACCGAATTCCGTTGTATGGAGGCTATACGAAGACGCCGACCCCAAAAGTGAGTAATCTGCTAGAGAAAACGGCGGCTATTACGATCTCTAAATACAAAGTTTGAGATAAATACGTGGAAATGAAAAATTCATCAAAATAGCGAATAATTGGCGGAATCCTAATACAGGGCCTTCATTAAAGCGTGGATCTGTTCAGGAAATTTTCTATCATAGCAAGAAGTACAGATTACGAACTCCAAATACCAAATTTGAAATAATTTCTGTGAAAAGTGTGTCCGAGTTATATGGGGACAATACTTATACTTGGACCTATATAGACTGTTCTATGCAAGGATGTCATCTACATACCTGGAACACAAACTGCCAAGAGACCATGAATCTGCCGGCACGTTAACATACTGAAATTTGGGCCTATATAGTCAATATTCAATACCAAAAATCCGGGGGACCTTATACACATCTGAGTAAAATTTTTTCAGGCTACTTCATATCGTTTGGAAGCTAGAGAGATTTTCACAGACGGACAAATAGACAACGAGACGGACAATAAATCGACATAGAATTTTATGCTGATCTGGAACATAAATATTTTGTAGGGTTCAAAATGTATATTTTGAGGTTTTGCAAACGGAACAACATATTTATGGTGGAGGGTAAGTTCCTTCCAAATGTTGGAGGATATTACAAGTTACTAAGTTACTTTTTTACTTGTTTAGCTAACAACTCCCTTTAAAGGGGATCAAAAAATTGTCAAAAAATTCTATTACAGAAATTTTCTATATACAGGGTGAGATAAAAAAAAACTGCAACAAAGTCAAACGCCATCATTTTTAAATGTTATTGAGCATCAAATTTCAGAATTGGTCACCTTTGGCACGAATTATGGCCTTCAAACGGCCAATAAAACCTTCACACGCTACCCAAATGTTGCTGTGCGGTATTTTGGCCCATTCCCGGCGAAGCGCTTACTTGAGGTGATCGACACCTTGTTATTATTTAGTGCCAACCTTGCTTTCCAAAATACTCCAGACACAATAGGCCAACGGATTGGTATACAGAGATTTTGGTGGCCATTGTGCGCTGGAAATGAAGCGAGGAACGTTATTTTGTAACCATTCTTGAGTGGCGCATGCTGGGTGCGGTGGTGCTGAGTCTTGTTGGAAAGTTCAAAGTCTGCTGCCAAAATGTTTGAGTGCCTAAGGCTTTAATACACCTTCCACAATATTTTCGCGATAATATTCGGCATTTATTCTGATGCCACGGTCGACTAATACGAGCGGAGAGCGACCATCGGCAGTTATGGCGGCCCACACCATAACCATGGCCGGCGTTTGAGTTCTGGTGTCCAACCGAAGGTGCACATTTTCAGCTGACCTCTTTGGCAAGTAAACACGATCATTTTGTTTCTTTACAAACTGCTGGACAACGAATGTTTTCTCTTGGAGAAAACCAAATTCGGCAGTTCACCACTTTCGGCCAAGCGAAGCAACTCTTTGGCTCTTTCGAGTCTATTTTTTTTTCTGTTGCGGTGTAAGTTCTAGGATTTTTGGAATTTCAATGGCTTTACCGCGAGCCCATTTTTCAGTATTTGCCGAATGGAATATTGCGATATATTCAGCTCACGAGCCATTTTTTGGCCACTGCGACGCGGTTTTCAGTCAAGTCGCTTCTTTACTTTTCGAAACACTTCTGCTGATGCTGCTGTTTTCTTCCGTCCACTTCCATCGGGCTACGCTACCAGTATCACGGTAACGAGCGATGGTAAGAGACACAAAAGATTTATTCGCATTTAAATGCTGGAGTGCTCTAACGATAGCCACTTGTGGTTTTCCAGTCAAATATAAAGAAATCACACTATCACGCTTCAATTCCATGACGAATAACATTTTTTTTTTTTGAAAATTCTCACCAAAATGTTTTTGTACGCTTGTAAACAATATAATGAGCTGTCACTGGAATAATTTTAACAGCTGTCGGACAAGTGGCTTAGAAATGACATCAGTCTGAAGTTGGTTGCAGATTTTTCATCTCACCCTGTATATATGAGAACACGTTCTGGTACCTCACCCACAAAGGGTCACAATACATTTATCTGTCATAACTTGCGAAACAAGTCGGTGATTCCTTACAAATGTTAATATCAAAATATTTCTCTCAACCAGAAACCTGATTTTCCTTTTCGTATTAAATTGGATATAAATGTTCGATTTTCGTGTAATTTTGCCCATACCAATATTTTTATCGGTATTAGATGAGGTATGAAAATGGAATATTTCGGTCGAATATATCTGGTAACTCACGCACATGTTAACATTTTCTAAAAATTATCACATATCTTATGTAAAGGAAGTGAAGGAAATAACCAATATAGTCCCCGCCGGCAATATTTATATCATATTTCTTAGGGTCCGGAATGGACAATATTGGCCCATTCTTGCGAAAACTACTCCAAAGTGGGTCAACAATTTAAATAATCAGAAAAGAAGTCCAAATATATTTTAATAATCGAACATTGGCTGTCGGCAAATCCCACTAATATTTATACCCTACACCACATAGTGGTAAGGGTATTATGTCTTTGTGCATTTGTTTGTAACATGGAGAAGGAAACGAGATAGACCCATAGTTACTTTTGAGAACCTTCATAGAATCACTTTCTGAGTCGATTTATGTCCGTCCGTCCGTCCGTCCGTCTGTCCATGTATTCTTGTGAACAAAATGCAGGTCGCATTTATTATCCGATTGAGATGAAATTTTCCAAACAATATTTTTTTGGCCCAAGGACGAACCCTATTGAAATTGGTGAGAATCGGATCAAATTTAGATATAGCTCCCATATATATCTTCATCCGATTTCGGTTTAAATGTGCACCAAATGTCCACTATCAGTCCAAATTACCTGAATTTTGGCACTCCCAACCGAGTTTGGCCTAGAAGCAAGTATATCAAATTTGGAGAAAATCGGTTCAGATATAGCTATAGCTCCCATATATATCTTTCATCCGATTTGATCTTTAAGTCCCTCACATTCCTACTATGCACTCCACAACCGTGATATTTGGTACCAGGTATTAGATGGAGCACAGGAATAGCTGTTTTAAATTTTATCGAAATCGGTTCAGATTTGGATATAGCTCCCATATATATCTTCATCCGATTTCGGGTTAAATGTGCACTAAATGGTCAATATCAGCCCAAATCACCTGAATTTTCGTACATAAGACCGCATTCAGTCTAGAAGCTAATACGTAAAATTTGGAGAAACCCGGTTCAGAGATAGCTATAGTTCGTAAAATGCACGATAGAATTAGATAGATTTTGATTTTGTACCAAATATCTCATAGAGCTCTAAAATGCCCTGTATAAACCTTTTTACGAGAGCTCTACTAAGTATGCATAGTGGTGTAGGGTATCATATAGTCGGCCCCGCCCGACTTTTGAGCTTTCCTTACTGGTTTTAAATTTGTTTAATCCCCTGTTAGGATTATCCAAAAATTGGCCTTTTAAGATTAATTCGTTCAAAATTACACGCCTCAAGCTCAGGTAATTCTTTGGAAAATCGCTTAAGTTTCTCATTCGAACTCAGAAATTCTAAATACGTAAATTTTCTAACCCATAAAATCAATTTTTTTAAAATATTTTTTAATAGTTTTCCTACAAATTCAGCATATCGAAATAAACTCCGACTCTTAACCCTTATTCCGGACATTAACACCGATCTCTTCTCCGATAGAATTTTAATAAGTAAACTTCAAATAAATTCGTGCAATTTTGTAAACCTTTTTTATAATTTTAACACAACTAAATTTATTTTTAATTAGATTTTGTAACACATTCTATTTTCCGTCTTTTGCAGTTGTTGGACCACTAAATTATAATTTCGTCTGCCTGCCTGTAAGAGGTAAGTTCTATGCCAAAAGCAACAAATATTTTTACCCCAAATTTATTTCAGCTATTTCCTATAGTAAACAATTCCTTTTTTCCCTCTTACAAACATTTCAATAATTTCCGCTGCTAATTACCGCCTGGTATGTGCCGAATTATTTGTTCGTTAAGGAATTGTTTCGAAGCGAAACATTGCAAAAAATTGCGCTGCTCTTTTCTTTATTGTTGCCCAATGCAATTTTGAGAAGAATTCGTTGCGGTGCTTTTTTTGTATTTTATTATTTCAAATAAAATGAAAAAAGACATTCATGCCCAACAACAAAATCATCTTCCCGAAGACCACAACCAATTCAAAGTCATGATCACTTAAAAGAGAAGAGTTGATTTGAAATAATTCCTCATCTTGTGCTCGCCACATGTAACAGAAAAAGAAACGAATGGTCTTCTTTTTGATTGCTTCTTTTTTGGTTTTCTGTTTAACTCTGGCTATGCCATTGCAAATCTACAGCTCAATGGCAAGACATCAGCTTAAGTGTAGTTAAGGCGGATGTTGGAGTTGATTTTTGTTTGGTCGAACGAGATGTTTGCCGATTTTCAAGTATTACTTGAGTTGTGTTGCATTACTTGAGATTATTGCCGCCGCCGAGATTTTTGACAGGATGGTATTTGGTATATATGCATTGTAAATAAGTGGATGGATTAATGGATTAACACACTGGAGAAAAGAAGAAATTAATTTATTTATTTATTAATTTATTTCAAATAAGAAAATTTAAATTTTTATTAAAAATAATAAATAATTAAAAAATAATAAATAAATTCAAAATAAAAAATATTTTAAGAAATCCATAGGCAGAAGATATATTTAAATATTTTTCATGTCGAATCTATTTTTTGAAAAATCGCATTATAAGTATATGAAAAGTACTGAAATGTACTACATTTGGTGCCATTTCGTATCATGCGAACAGTTAGAGCAACAAACTTGAAATTTGGATTGGGAATCAAGGTTCAGGAGTCGAGTCGATATGAGGTGATAGTTTTGGAAATGTGTACTCATGTATACGAAAAGTACTAAACTGTACTAAATTTAGTACAATTTGAATTTGGAGGAACGGATGGAGACGGAATCCCGAAATTTGAGTGTTGGATTGCGATATGATGGAAGTTTTCAAAATTGATACTTTTGTTCACAAAAAGTACAAAATAGTACGAAGTTTGGTACAATTTCAATTTTGATTGAACCGCTAGAGTTGGAATCCTGAAATTGGAAAATACGAGTTATATTGCATTGCACGCCTGAGGTATGTAGGTAGTTTTGATATGTAAGTATATTTGGAAATTCGTACCTATGTGTACTTAATTGTACTAAATTTGGTGCAATTTAAATTTTGAGTGAACCGGCAGGGTTGGAATCCTGAAATTGGGAAATAAGTTTACTATCGCATTGTAAGCCTGAGATATGTAGTTGTCGAATTTCGTACTTGTGTGTACCAAATGGCACTAAATTTGGTACAATTTCGATTCGGGTAAACCGGTAGAGTTGGAAACCTGAAATTTGGAAATATTTTTACATTGTAGGACTGAGGTAAATAGGTAGTTTTGGAAATTAGTACTTATGTATACTAAATGGTGCTAAATTTGGTTCAATTTAAATTTTGGATGAACCAGCAGAGCCGGAATCCTGAAATTTAAAAATAGGGTTTTTATTGGACTGTATTATGCAAGTGGTTATGGAAATGAGTACTTATGTGTACTAAATGGTACTACCTGAGATACAAGTAGGAATTGTGGTGAACCGATGAAGCTAGAATTCTGTCACTGAGTCACTGGTGCAGTGCGGGATAGATAGACCAAAGGGTTTGTGGAAATTCGAACTTGTTGGTTATGGAAATCGTACAATTTGGTATTATGTGAACGGACACTGTTAAAAACTTGGAATTTGATTTGAGAGCCAAGGTTGGAAAATAGGTTTTATATATGAAGCTGGTATTTATGTGTACAAAAGGGTACAAAATTTGGTACAATTTAAATTTTAAGTTAAACGGTAGAGTTGGAATCCTGTAATTTGAAAATAGTATTTCTATTAGACTGTATGATACCGGTTGTTATGGAAATGAGTACTTATGTGTACTAAATTAGGTACAAGTTGAAATTGTGCTGAACCGATAGAGCTATAATTCTGAAATTGGAATGAATGGAACGAGAATCACTGGTGGAGTGCAGGATAGATATAACAAAGGCTTTGTGTTATTATGTGAACGGATCGAGGTAAAAACTTGAAATTTGGTTTGGGAGCCTAGGTTGGGAAATAGGGTTTATATATGAAGATGGTATTTATGTGTACTAAAGGGTACAAAATTTGGTACAATATAAATTTTAAGTGAAACGGTAGAGTTGGAATCCTGTAATTTGAAAATAGGATTTCTATTAGATTGTATGATGCCGGTTGTTATGGAAATGAGTACTTATGTGTACTAAATTAGGTACAAGTTGAAATTGTGCTTTACCGATAGAGCTATAATTCTGAAATTGGAATGAATGGAATGAGAATCACTGGTGGAGTGCAGGATAGATATACCAAAGGCTTTGTGTTATTATGTGAACGGATCGAGGTAAAAACTTGAAATTTGGTTTGGGAGCCTAGGTTGGGAAATAAAGTCTATATACGAAGGTGGTTTTGGAAATGTGTACTATGTGAACTAAATTTGGATGATGAAGCTGAAATTTTATAGTAGTTTCCCTGTAGATGGTAATTTTGCGATAAACAGATGGTTTCGGAAATGGGTACTAAAAGTAGACGGAAAGTACTAAATAGTACTATATTTGGTATTAGTTGAATTTATAGTATTTGAAATCTGAAATTTGGTATTAGGGTCGTTATTAATATGGATCTGGTTTCAGAAATTTGTACCACAATTGTGCGAAACGTACTGAATAGTACCATATATGTTATTGGGGGAATGAAATGGAGATAAAATTCCGAAATCTGATATAGATGTCACTGTTGGTGTCTGTGGTTAAGATATGGGGGTGGTTTTGGAAATGTGTATCATAATTGTACGAAAAGTACTAAATGTTACTCGATTTGGTATTGTGTGAAGGAATAGAGCTAGAAACCTGTAATGTGTACTACAATTGTTCAAAAAGTTCAAAGTGGTATTAAAATGGGTTTTTGAATGGATAGAGACGAATACCGAAATTTTATATTGAGGTCTCTGTCGGCATATGGGATTGAGATATAATAACGGTACCCACGATATTCAGGGGGGTCACATTTAGCTACCTTTTTCAATGGAATTGTCTTAAATTCTACACAAGGAGTCCATTGTAAGTACTTTACCCCCAGTCCACAATATGGTATATTTCCCACACCATACCTAACGGTACCTCACGATATTCGGTATTTTGATGATTTTTGCCACATTTTTCAATGGAATTGTCTCAAAATTCACACAAGAAGTTCCTTCTGAGTACTTTACCCCCTGGAAGAGAATTGTCTATGCAGGTCCACTACATCGTATATCTCCTACATAACAGTACCACCCGATATTCGGTATTTTCATGATTATAGCCAAATTTTTCAATGGAATTGTCTCAAAATTCACACAAGGAGTTCCTTCTGAGTATTTTACCCCCTGGAAGAGAATTGTCAATGTAGGTCCACCATATCGTAAATCTCCTACATAACAGTACCACCCGATATTCGGTATATTCATGATTATAGCGGCATTTTTCAAAATTCACACAAGGAGTTCCTTCTGAGTAATTTACCCATGATATTGTTCTTCCCCATGTAACGGTACCTACCTTTATTCGGTATCTTCATGAGTTTAGAAACAATATTCAACGGAATTCAAATTTCGTATTTTAAGTTCGTAATGGGTACTTCAACACATGACGGAAAATTATCTATGCAGGCCCAAGCCTTCGATAGTCGCTATTTTGATTATATTAGCAACATTATTCACCGAAATTGTTTCAAATTTCGTATTTCGGAATCCTATGACAAAAAAATTCCTTGCGCAGGACCACGTCTGTGTATAGCCCCCATAACGATTTTCATTTCAGCTGTATTTTTCGAAGGAATTTTAAATGAGTCAATCCTAAATGCTCCTTATTTCCAGGAAACTCGTTAAATCACTCCATAGAAAATATAAACTATCAAAAATCCTGATTTCAGATTCACAGTCCTCGGCAATCTACTGCTTTAACAAGTCTCTGTCAAATTAAATTAATAAATTTGTCGTATTTTTAATATTCTTTAGAGTGTGGAAAATCACCCATTACTACAAAAAATTAATCCACATTCAATACTTGCTCACTTATACCAAAGAAATTAAGAAGCACACACGCAAACACACACAGACATACACCTCTCATACACTTATTAAGAAACTAAGAAGCAAATTGTGGATTATATGTGATTGTAACAGTTACACTACATTACACATCACTTCCACTTTTGCTCTATCCGATAGTTTGAAGTTCGTCCCCCTCCGATCCCATATCGAATAGATTTCCTTGTCATGGGCGAGCGGTCTGTGGTGGCCATAGAGTCATATAAACTTAATAAGTAAAAGTAAAGTGCGCCTGTTAGTGCTCAGGCTGACAAAATGATACGTGTGTGTTTGTTTGCCTGCCGGACTGTCGTCATCATCTTGAACTGTCTATATAGATATATGTATGTTTTTGTGCATTGTCAGACCTACCATACATACTTGTATCTATGTTCTGGGGGATTAAAAGTTCTTAAAGTCATTAATGGTATCCGTTTACAGTCAGTTGGTCGTTTTGTTGGTTTCTGTTTGTGTTTCTTTCAGTATTGGTCTGCTTTAGAAATATTGCCTCATGATTGCAACACCAACATCATCATCCTCTTCACCGCTCATCATTTCTCTCTCTCTCCACCACCACTTATGTTGCAGCATTTGTTATTATTCTTGTTCTTATGTCAGTTTTAAGTTTATCTGTCCAGTTGTTTTAGTTGTTCTCTACTTCTCCGTCTGCTTAGTG